GGTGCGGGCTGGGGTGGTGGGGGGCTTACTCAACGCGGCCCTGTCGGCCCAGCACCTCGAGGGACCAGGTGCTGGCGGTCCCCACCCAGGCCACGCCACACCGAGGTGATTTTGGCGTGCGCGTTTGACGTGGCAGCCCAGTTAGGGGGCTTGCCAGTGATGTATAACGCTGGCCTAGTAGAGGGTCCTTCCGGGCCCCCAGACCTGGCTTGGCCGGCTGGGGTCGGAGGAGGACAAGGACAAGATCCTGGGCACCCTGGAGAGCTTCTCCCAGGTTAACTCCATTGTTTTCCAGGGATTGCCAAATTGCCTTGCTGTGACTTAATTAACCCTTTTATTCTTCTTTCAGCCGAAGAGTAGAACTTGATTTTCCCCCTTCGATTTTGGTAAACAAGGACCAAGCCATTCATTTCTTCCCCAGCTGCCTGTAGGCTCCTTATACACACACACACACACACACACACACACACACACACACACACACACACTAATGGTCCCTGTAAGTCCCTCCAGGGCTCTTCTCCCACAGATTCACCAACTCTGAAAAATTTGAGATGATCTAGCATCTATGGGCACAAGCAGTCGATTCTCCCAAATACTCGTGCAATCCATTAATGTTAAGTGAAGCCACTCTCGCCCAAGACTGAAGGGTATGTTACCTTTGTAATCTTAAAATGTCAGCAGGCTCCTTAAGCCTAAATCAAGTTTAAACGTTTTCCTCAAATACGCTACATAGTTTAAGAAATTCATTTTCATTCTTTTAAAATTTGATTTAACTTTAAAACGTCCAGGCTTCGAAGAAAAACAACAATAACTACAGCCACTTCTGTTTATTTATGATAAGAAAGGGAGATTTTTCCCTGAAAAGTCGAGTCTTATCAGTCAGCACCCAGGAGAGAGCGGTCAGAATCATCCTCACTTAGAATTGGCTTCAAGAATTGAGGGGAGGGGGTTGGCTACAAAAACATTTCTTGCTGTAAAAGAAAATCGTTTTAACTTCAAGTTAAAAGTGTACTTCCTTTTTAATGAGAGAGTAAACAGCATTTTAGAATCTGAAACTAAAATGAAAGTACTGCCTCGAACTAATTTCACTTGTTGCTGCCTTCACCTCTCTTTGGACCAGCTGCTGCCACTGGGTGGACCTTGGGGTTAGCCGCTATGCGCTTAACACTGCGCTACTTTATAAGAAACGCACAGGGCTTGACCATAAGACAGCACAGGATAAGGTAAAGAAAACTACATTTCCTCAACGCAGTGATAAACCAATCTGAAGTGAAATATGCATGTGTATTCTTTTATTAGCATTTCCCCCCTCTCTTCAGAGGGGCTATTAACTTGGAAACTGTGACCAAAACACGTTTGTGACAGAGGAAATGAAAGGGAGGGAATTAGATGGAGGTGATGGTAAATGACCCCTGAGAACCTGGGAAACTGGCCCAGCACTGAGGGGCCCAGCAGGCCTGCCAGCACCTCCGGGCCTTCCCTGTCTAGTCTAAGTCTCCCCTGAGACCCCCAATGGGCACCTCGCTCCCTAGTACAAACCCATCTCTGCTCAACTGTGACTTGAAGTCTACATTGCTGCTCGCTGGGGCGGCAGCCGAAGAGGTGCTAGGACACCAGTATGCTGAGTAGATAACTTGTCTCCGGCCACTGCACCCCTGCACCGCGCCCCTGCCTTGCGTCTCAGCCTCGGAGCCCACCCCAGCACTTACCTCCTCCACCCTCTTCTCTCCTGCAGACTTGGCCCTTTATGGTGGCCGGGAAACCAGAGAGTGACCTGAAAGAAGTGGTGACCGCGAGCCGCTTGTGTGGAACCACAGCGTCCTGACCTTGGAGGCGCGAGCCTGGGAAAGGCGCGCTTCCGAGAGGAGCGGGCCCCGGGAAGGCGACCCCTGCCCTCCCTCTTCTCTGTCTCGGCTTTCCTCTCCCAATGCTCATCTCCCTGTCCCACCCGCCAGAACACTTCACTGCGACGAGGAGATTCGTTTCCAAACCCGGAGATCAACTGTACTTACAAAGAGCCCCATTATTTAACTTTATTAACTTCTACCGTGAATGACTCTGTGAGCCTTGCTGGTCCAAGTGCAATATGTAATTATAGATCTATAAATCGATAATGAGAGCCTATCAGTATGTATCTTTTGTACAATATGTTGTAAAATGTAGGCCATAGAGTAGCTGACTTTGACAGTCACATTTATAAAGTAATTCATGTAAAGATATATATATTTTTCAAGCGTTTTGCTACTTTCGAAAATAAATCTTTCTTTATATTGCTAAGTGCCCTGACATTGATGTGGCCTTTCTTTTAATTAAGTTTATTTGGGGAGTGAACGAAGTGGGGAAAAATGATCACAAAAGTGGCTCTTTCCAACCTTAATAGAAATTTCTAGAGATGAAAATTGACTAATTTCCACTATAATCAGGCAGATTATATTTTGTACCGACACCTTAAAAGAAACCATTATCTGTCATGTTTTTGCGGGGTGCTTTTAAGATTATCAGAAAGAATATAACTGTTAAAAAAAGGAATCGATGGGCAAGATTAAAAGAGTTAAACTGTTCAAGGGTAAAACTGCACACCGGAAAAGAATCTGTTTGTCCTGAGTTCTGAAGTCTAAATGCTGACATGACAGGAGCAGCAAGGCACACACTCCAAGTTCTAGAACTCTGCAAGCTCGGACAGGAACTCAACGCTCCTTGTCTGCAATGTAGCAGGGGGGCTTTGAAAAATGAGAATTCCGAAACCCCTATGACGTCCTAAAAGATTTTTAGAATGCGCCAACACGCTTTACCTAGTTTTTGTTAATGTACTGATTCATTAATGCACTCTAACAACAATAAACGTGCGTCCCTATATTTTGGGTATGGTTAGCCCGTGCGTCCTGGCCCCGCCGCGACTTCCGGCGGGCTGGGTTTTAATTTAAACATCTTCCAGGCTGCGGAACCGCTCGTTGGGGGAAGATTAAGTTGAGATAAACAGAGAGGCGAGGCTGGGGAGCCTGGGACCCCGCTCCCTCGCTGCCCCAGCGCAGCCCGTGGCAGCCGATGAGCCAGATGCCACCGGGGCTGTTTAATGTTCGGGGTTATGACCGAAGTGTTTACAAGACGTCTTCGGTTATTTATACTGTTATTCCTCGCAGAGGGCCTTGAAACTTCCGCTTCAGTTGCTCTTTCTGTTCGACTTTTTTTTTCCTCCCTTTTTCCTTTTTCTTCAGCTGGGTTTGGTACCTGGGTTAAGCACTTACCGCTCCTCTCCTGCACTTACCTCTAACCAACACAAAAGGCCAGTTAAGACCATTGAAGAAGGAGCCCAGGACCCTAGTTAGGAGGAGGGAATCACTAGCCAGGGGGCTCTCTCTGATAGTTACCATGGCTACCAAGTGCAGTCCCCTGAGGGTGGGGAATTCCATGGACCCCCTCTGGTCTGCATGCTTGTCATTTGCCCATCAAAGGCTTTTCCATTTACCTGTCAGGTCACCACACACACCCACACTCGGTTCTCTAATCATGGCCGTTTCCCCAATCCCCATGTTATGTCACTTATATCACAGGGACAATGACTTAGCCTGGACCTCTTCAGGGTTCAAATCTGCAAAGCATCCCAGAGACACTTGCTTTACAGGTGTGGTGAATTTTCGAAGCCTTCACCGACCTTTTTGGCAAACCAAAATTTCCCACATTCTGAACAATCTACCTAACCGGCCCCTCACAGAAATCCTTCCATCTTGCTCATTCTCTAACGGTCCCAGACAGACATGCTTCGTTCGATTGTAGTCCTGTGTCACCCACCCATCGTTGGCAGCCTTTGCTTTCAGCCTGACGCGTGAATTATGGAACAGGGCTTTCTGGCTTGGTTCTGCCTGGAGCTAGCCATGTCCTGAACGGACCAAGAATCTCTGTCTTCTCTTCAGAAAGAGGAACATCTTTGATAGGACTCTGATCTCTCCTGTTATTTCACAAAGTTGGGGAGGTGTTCAAAGGACATTTTAGCCCCACATTATCCAGGAAAAATTACGGATGTCAATTACCTTTACTAAGTAGAAGTCCTGGGGGCAATAGCTAAACTGCTAACACAAAGGTTAGAGATTCCAACTCACCAGTGTCTGCAAAGAGGGAAAGACCTGGGAATCTACTCCACCAGGGATTACAGCCTAGGGCACTCCCTGGGCTGCTTCTGTTTCAGAGTTGCCGGTCACTAAGTGGCACACAAGAACCGGTGGGGGTGAGCTCTCCATGACTCTGCCAGGATTCATCAGGGCTGAGATTCTTAGGACGGAAGCTCTAATGCCTCTAAGCTTACTTGCATACAGTGTGTAGACTCTGATGTTTGCCCTACAGAAACCAAAACATCTCTCTTGGATACAATATTGAAAGTCAAAATCCCTCTGTTACTTTCCATCCCTCCCCAGCAATCTCAGAATTGGTTCACAGCTTCCTGCCCAGTGCTGTGACTATCTCCTAGGCATCTAGAATCCAGGAATACTTAGAGTGCCGAGAAAGGGTGTGAGACCAGAAAATAGGCAAAGAAGCCCGCAGGTGGCTCTGGCCTTCTGGATCCCAAGTTGACGCAGAGGCCTGGGAGCACCGGAGACCCACAGATCTCCATCGAATGAATCATAGCATGAGCTGCACTGCAGAAAGGCCTGGGATGGGGCCACATCGGTCTGGGACCCTCTTCTATGTCAGATGGGCAGTCCCTCCCACTTGCCTGGACGTTGGCTTCCCTGCAAGACTGCCACCTCACTGACATGGTGTCCGCACTGCGGAGGGGATGGGGGTCCCCTTTAATACATGCTAGTTAAGGTGAGAGTAGACATGGGGAGTGTCCTGTCTGTGACCTATGGGTCATGGCTTGAAGGGGCCAGGAGAAGAGCCAAAGTACCTGTGGACACTCAAACTGGATAGTAACTTATACAAGGCAGCTCTCTCTCTCTCTCTCTCTCTCTCTCTGTATGTGTGCATGCACGCACACGCTGGCACATGTTCCTCTCTCTTGTTTTCACAACTTTTTTTTTTTTACAACCAACACCATGTACTTCCAGCAGGTTTTCTTTACTCCCCAACAGGAGACTTCTTTCAACAAAGAGATGCGCATACACCACACTAGTCAAGCCCCTGGTTATAGTAAGTGATCTGTGATAGACTGCCGCCGGGAAGACCCTGAAACCAGTGGTTCTCTGGCTTGTCGCAGAATCACCTGGAGGGCTCTTAGAAGCAAGTGGTCCCGCGTGCCTCCTTCAAGGGGTGCAGGGTTAATAGTTAACTATTTAACAAGTTCCCCACCAATGCTGATGCTGCTCTTCCAAGATACAGTGTGAGAAATAGTCGCCGGTTGTCTCCTTACAGGAATGAAGGGGATTAATTCAGAAGGAAAGAAACTATCTGGAAGTATTTTCTTGCAAAGCTACATTTTCTAGCCTCCAGTTTGCTCCACATTTCACTCCAGGGCAGCACTGCTGCAGTGGATTTTAATGCTGACAATCGAGCAATAAAACGACTTGTTTTGTATGACCCTGGTGTGTGGATGCGTTTTCACTCATGACTCGCCCTCAAAGACAGATGTCACCTCTGTGAACTCTTTAAAAAAAGGGCTTTGTTGTAGATTCGAGGATTCGGCTACCCCAGAGTCACAGAATGACATTGCTTCATAGAGGTTTTGTGTTTGTTTGTTTGTTCAGAGGGAAAGGAACGCTGGTGTCATAGTGGGTTATGTGCCGGCTGCGAATTGAAAGGTCAGCAGTTCAAAAACCACCAGCCACTCCGTGGGAGAAAGATGAGGCCTTGTACTCTCATAAAGATTTACAGTCTAAGAAACCAGTTCTACTCTGGACTGCAGGGTCCTTGTGCGTCAGAATGGCACTCAGTGGCAGTCAATCTGGTTTGGGGATTGAACATCTTGATGGAAGCAGCTGGCAGCCAGGCCTTTCTTCTTCAGACACACTTGGATGAGTGCCAACTACCAACCTGAAGGTAGCAGACTGCTGCAAACTGGACCACCCGTGGGCTTATGAGATCCCCAGGGAAGGGGTAGGGAAAGACTCTGTAAGGGGCCAGGCCTTAACTCTGATGTGCTGAGGGACCCTTCAAAGCAGATGAGATCCCGCGGTGACTCCAGCAGGGGTAGCCTGGAAGCTGGGAGCGGGATTTTGAACCCGCGCAGGGAAGAGACAGAGCTGAGCGCTTAGGGGGGAACCCTACCTTCCGGTAGAGGGAGGAAGGAGGCTCAGAGACTCCAGTCCCGAATTCCAGCGGACAGTTTCCCACATCCCCATCATTCTCCGAGACAACCCAGAGCGAGCTGGCGGCCAGGCGCCGCTGCTTGTCCATTCGCGCTCCCTTGCGCTTCCGAAGCAGGTTTGGGGGTTACGATCCCACGCCGTAGAGGGGAGGCGCGGGAGAAGGAGGGAGGGGTGGGAAGTTTGCCCCGAGGAATGTCTTTCTCAATTTTACATCCTTGGCTGCACAGGCTGGCTTTACTCTTGGAAACGTGGGGACGCCAGCGGCGTTCCCGAGAGCCGGCCGGCCTGGCTTCTCCCGGCGTCTGGCTCCCGGCCTCTCTGACCTACACGGGAGCCGACTTCGCGGGGTCATTCTCCTCCCCTTGCGTGGAAGAAGGGACCACTCCCCGGACTGGGTTTAAGACCCCCTTCCAGGATGGAGGGTGGGGAGAGGGCGTGCGTGTGGGAGAGGACAGGTCGTTTCGAATGCTGCTGAGCTATGTCACCAGAGAGTGCTGTCACAGGACCCCTCATGCCCAGTAGGGTGGCTAACAGGGGTCCTCAATTATTGACATGTTTGAGCCCATTGTGGCAGGCATTGCGTCGATCCAGCTCATCCACAGTCTTCCTATTTTTTTCTTTTTTGCTGACCTCCGACTTTATTATGCGTGATGTCCTTCTTCAGGAACTAGTGTCTCTTTGGAGCCCTGGTGACACAGTGGTTACATATTTGGCTGCTAGCCATAAGGTGAGGAGTTCTAAACCCCCAGTCACTCCTTGGGGAAAAGATTGGGCTTTCCACTCTCGCAGAGAGTCGCAGTCTTGAATTTGTCAAGAATTTCAGTTTATTTGAATCCCCAGCCAACTCTCATGGAAGCAATGGTCCTAAAATCAAGTGACATTCGGCATTGTTTACTAAAGTAGAGGAGCATCCACAAAAAAAGGCTTCCAAACAGATGCTTTGATGCAATGGCTGCAATATCGGGTGTAACCCTCACAAACATGGTGAGGCTAGAACAGGATGAGGCAGTGCTGGATTCTGGTGCATCCTGTTACCAT